AACCGTCGGGAGACATGATCGGGCGATACAAGGTATGAAAAATATGTGGTCCATGGACAGGACTTTTTATACTCCAAATTTAATTCTGTTTTCCAGTTTTTTTGTGCACGCTTACGGAAACAAAATATTGTTTCAACAAACCGTTATAAATAGCTGAAAGAATTCTAACGCAACTAACTTGATTAGTTACACAGACACGGATACCTGAGTACAAAACCCGCGCTGCTGTGCTGCTAAGTCAAAAGTACATAAAGGTGCCCCTCGTCTTGTGCACCACAGTTCACGAAAAACGTACTTTCGAAGAGCAAACATTTTGTGATTTCATGTACGTAACTGCGAGATATTAAGAAAACCTCGCGTCATTATAAACCATGTAGACCCTGGTGTGTGAAGACAGGAGCCTCGGTGTTGTGAAGTGTGACTTCCGCCAGCAGACGACAGAAGAGTACTTTCAGACAAAAGGTGACACAAAGTTTCATCTGGTCCATTGGATCCACGTTCTGTATACTGTGGAAGACATACACGCCACCTTGCGGAACTTGTGGGAACAAGTCGCAGACGGCGGGTACATGATGGTCGCCTTGGACCCAGGTGAGCTAGAAAAAACCTTTTTAAGGACAAGAACTACCAGATGTATGCATCGATGAAGGTTAGAGATCCAGGTAATACGATACGCCAAAAAGTCACTGACGAAAGCTAGTGGATACTAGGTGAAACGTCTGACCGTTTCCAAAACCGTATCCAGTTGCTTGAGTAACTGCTTTTTGGCGTACCAGAGGTATACTTCTGTAATTCTTTATTACCTCCATGAAATGGAAGGTATTGTTTTTGGCGCGTCTGTGTGCGTGTGTGTGTGTGTGTGTGTGTGTGTGTGTGTATGTGTGTTTGTGTTTCCGCATTTTTGTACCTTTATAAGTCCATAACGCCTTCATGGATTGTGGTGATATTTGGTATGCTGGTAGGTCTTAGAAGGGCGAAGGTCAAGGTCAAATATGGGCCTCCTGGTGGATGGCCTTGGTACTGCAGCAGCACTTCCGGTTTAAGGTTGAGTCAGGGCATGGCTGAGAGGAATCTCCTTTATACTTGCCAGGCAGGGTAACAGATGTGGCTATGCCCAGCGAGGCAGCGCGCTCCCTCAGGGGAATAGGTGACCTATTTCAGGGCAAATGTGGCAGTGCCACTGTATGGCTGTGTGTTTGAAAACAAACAACCTGTGTTATTACCTCCATGAAAATGGAGGTATTGTTTTTGTTGCGTCTGTCTGTCTGTCTGTCTGTCTGTGTGATGACCTTGGTACTGCAGCAGAACTTCCGGTTTTTGTATCTTTTGTCCTGAATATGCTATGGTCTTGATTTTTTGGTGGCAGATAGATTGTCCTGTCTAGTAAATGGTGTGGGTTTGGTCCCCCTAGCAGCTTGTTCTGGAACTACAGGGGACTTTCGGGCGAAATCTTTAAAAGCCAATAAGTCCAGATAGAAACAATGTATTTTCATCATTTTTGGTAGGTAGGTAGCTGAGAGAGAGATGTACATAATTAACTGCAAATTATGCAAATGAGGACTTAATTTGCATAATTAATGAGGAAATTCTATAATTACAGTGTTTTGCATTATAGTACTTTCATACATGTAATGTACTAGTATGTAATCTATGGCAGATGGAACATCACCAGATACCAATTATGCAAATGATGACCTAATTTGCATAATTAATGCGAAAATTCTATGACTCCTTAGTGGTAAATGATGGGAATTTCATACTTGGTACATGTGTAAGTTAATCAAAAGTGAACATCACGATGCATTTATTATGTTAATGTGGAGGTAATTTGCATAATTAAAGAAGAAATTAACATTTACATGTCAAGCCCATATTTCATGGAGGTATGAGATCTCGGAACTCTTGTTTTATTTTGTTTCGCCTTTTTGCCGCGGGAATTTCTACTGCGTTGCATTTGCGACGCATTAAAAAGCATTTCAAAGTAACTAAATGTATAGATTAATCTAAACTTGGCTTTTATGTAATTTTGATCAGCAGTCATCATCATCATCAATCGATCAACAATATGGCCAATAACGACTTAGAAACAACCAAGAGTCGTGGTTACTGAGCTAAAATAATAAATTGGGATCACTAAAACGGGAGTCTAAAATGTGTTATTCACATATTTACAGATAAAAGTGAGCTTGGAAAGCTGTATCACAAGTTGTGGGATAAGATTGGTCAGGGTGACCGTTTGAAGACGGCCTTTCGTACATCCAGTGACGTCAAACAGTGGCTTGACGCAATGGCCATCAGTTACGTCACTGCGGAGGATGAAATCAAGATTAACATCACGGAGTGTTTTAAGGAGGACTCGGAGGCGGGCAAGTCGCTTCTCGAGTTCTTGACGCACACGCCTTTCATATACAAGGAGCCAGTAATTCGGTCGACTGTCTTAGAGCACATCAGCTGCGAGTCGTTGGTGGTTGACGAAAAGATCGTGTTCAAATTAGTCGACGAAATAATTATTGCCTTCAAAATGGATTCAGGAAAAGGTGATCACAGCAGTGTGTCATTTTAAACACCCAGTAGCTAGTTGAGAAACAAACATTTATTTTTGGTGTGTATTTGAGTTGACCAACTCACAATGTTGAAAGAATATCATCATCATCAGAATATATGTCTGACAAAATATGCCACTGTACTACAATGTAACATTTGCAGATACTATATATGAGGAAAGAGATTGAAGGCAGGGACTGAGAAAAATGTGTCTTACTACTTATCTTTCTATGGATTTGGTCTCAACTGTTTGTTTACACGTTTTTCAATATCTTTGCAGATACATGTTCTTTTCTTTTTCAAATCTTAACATCAAAGTCGCCAAGAGAGAGAAAACTATGCAAAGGTAAACACTTGATTTCAAGTATTATGCTAGGATATATTTGTATCTAAGAATAATTTGACACTGATTCCCGACACTTATCTAATCATATCATATAATCTTCTTCATTTCATTTTTGTTTTAAGGAATAGCTCACAGTTGTCGACTTCAATATCTTTTTATTATACATTCCTTACATATTATACATGTTATACATAGATTTTATATTGCAAAAAGAGGTTATGTAAAGTGCGATTTTGGACATGACAGGATCATCTTAAGAAATAAGGCTACCCTAGCTTTTCCTCATACATTATGAAAATAAAGTCATGACTCGAATACATTATGTTAGTTGGTGTGTACCTTCACTGAATTTCCAATTACAGCAAGTATTTAATTTTCAGCAGTTACCACTTTAAAATTGTAAAATTTTGCATTAATTTTGCAAATTAGACCTTTATTTACATCAACATCTGCCAATGTCGTTCTCAATTACATATGTTAGAAGTGTTTCATATAGCCCTAATGTCAAATAAAACAGTTTTATAGAATTTCCTTATTATTTACGTAAATTAGATGCTGATTTGAATAGTTATAATTTAGTTATTCCAAGCATCACTTCAGCTTTTTAGATATCAAAAATCATGACAATCCGTCAACGAGATTTTTTAATTATCCTCTCTTAAATATTTTAATTCAAACCCAGAGCAGTTCCAGAACAAGCTGCTAAGGGCCCAAACTCACTTGACTTCTTTTGGACAAAAAAAGCTACCTACCACCCCAAATTCATGACCCTAGCATGTCCAGGTCGCGAGATATTTAAATCGGATCTTGCGCTGCAGTACCAAGGGAAGCCACTAGGGGGCCCAAAATCTAACCATTTCCAGTTTTCATCACACCCTACCAACGCACCAAGTATGAAACTAATCAATCCAGGCGTTCTTGATTTACTAGTATCTTGTTGACTAACAGACAGACGTACAAACAGACGAAACTGAAAATATCGGCCCAGGAGTGAGTCCTTCTGCTATATGACAACGAGCCGCCTTGCTCGGTGTTGACGGCGACATAACGCCCGGCCAGTCGTGCACTCTGCATGCGCAGCAGATGTAGGATACTCTCCAAGCAGAGGTTGTGGGGGAACGATCGTTAAATTTTTATATATGGCCTTTTTTTTGTCCTGACCCCCAATAACCCGTCGGTGGCCGCGAAGCTTCTTTGTCTAATGGATACTGCCTGGCCAATCTGATACTGTCTTTTTGCCACCGAGAGGGATCTGCTTGGAGATTAGATGGAGGACAGTTCAGCACTAAGGACAGCACGGGCCTGCGCACATCTTTTATAAAAATTCAGAGTGAACCCAGAGTTTCTATCGTAAAACCGACGATGCGACGCTTTAGGCCGCAATCATCATCATCATCCGCTGTGTTCTGCGTCTACAGTCGTGTGAAAATTTTAGGCCGCAAACTACACTAGAAACGCCGGTATTTAAATTAAACCAAGGGCTGACTCTTCATTTTTTTTTTGTCCCATCTCAGAATGTCCTGTAGTAGTAGCCTACTAATTAAAAGTAGATTGAAAATAATCTTGCTTCGATTGAGATGAACATAATGTGAACGAAATGTACTCGAATAGAGCGAAGAGACACAGGATTGTGTACCATCAAGATGCGTCCCCAATTTTCGAAAAATGGCGTTTCAGGGGGACAGGGGACGGTCAAGATTTCCAAATTTTACCCAGGAACATGCCCCTGATCCCCCTTGTGTATTGAGCTGAGATAAATGGCCCTATGGGGCAAGTGGAAGAAGTTTGTGAATATGATGTACTCGAATGGCGACTACTGAACTGGAAGCTTAGCTAGAAAGTTCCCTGTACCAGCAAAAATCTATCTATGCAGAAAATGTGACATTTTCCAGGGAGCATGCCCCGGACCCCCCGTGCCGTGGTTCGCCGGGTAGACCGTAAAAAGGGTCGATAGGGTGAAAATTATTCCAATTACAATCACCCAACCAACCCCCAACCCCCAAATTCACTGACTTTCCTACCGCTGCCTCTGATTTTAGTTACAGTGACTGTCCAAGAAGCAAGAAACTGATTTGCATTCGCCGCGTTCAGGGGCGTCATTGTTTACCTGCGAAGTCTCGCGATAAGACAACTTCTGTGCGAGAAAAGGCGAGAGTTGGAGTTGCTTTCTACATCTGGACACGAGATTTGGATCCAGGAGGTAAGAATTCTGTTTTAATTCCCTATTCCACTCATATTAGGGTCACAGGAAGATTATTAGTGGAACAATGAAGGTTTTGTGGACCCATAGTTCATATAATTGCGCCACAAACGACCACAAACCGGGATAATTTTCCCTTGTGTCTAACCCGGAAGTAAGAATCAGTAACGTTGTACATGTGTATCTGATTCTGAAAATGGTTGTCAAACTGCTTTGAACAGACCTACATATCGTCACGTTAAAGCTAACGTTGTTTTCTGGTTGTGTACGCTTGTTTGTATGGATATAACTAGTATATGGGCGTATCTACTGAGTGTCTTTTTTTAATACTGTGTATTTGTGCATGGATGTTTGTTGCATGTGTGCCGTGTCTGTGTTTAGGCCCCACCATCTTAATTTTTTGGATGACATCCTCTGAAGACCCCCAAACTAGTGCGCGCGGGCAAAAAAAATAAAAATCCGGCCAAAAATAAAAATACTACTAAACCACAGGAATACAAAACTGGTATTGTGAATTTGCGGCAGTACATGCCGACGTATACGACAGGCCGGCACATGCTGGCTTTTTGCGGAATTTATGAATCGGCACTGTACGTATGTACTGAGTTCTTGACTCGTGGACCTTCGGCAGTCTGGATGCCATCCTCCAGAGTTACCTTGGGCTCCGTATTGTCGCTAACTATCATCATCGGGACTACCAAGGCCTAGAGCCAGGCCAGAGCCTCGGAGGACGTGTATTTTTTTTTTTTTTTTTTTGAGAACAGGCGAAAATTAATGCGCGTGCGGATGTGCGGATGTCATCCATAAATTTAAGTCGGTGTGGCCTTACACTAAAATGTTCATGGCTTTCAACAGCTCAACACATAAAGTGGTATTACTACAGGCAAACTTGCCCAATCAACCACCTCGGTGTCTATAATTATTTATAAGCAGACTACTACTACTAGTACCATCTGGTCATGATTATCGACGTTGGGGGGGGGGTATGTGAGGGGGGATGCTGACCGCTTTTTCAGTCCCAATCCCCCCCCTCCCCCAAACACATATAGAAGCATCGTGGGACTTGCCTGCCACAAGCCAACCATGACATTATCTCTATGAAGCAAGTTTGAACTGTAATATCCAACACAACAAATTGGACTCACCCAATTCATTTTCGACTGTACGGCTCCAGTCTTTGTCAAGGAAGGAGCAATCCACTGCTTCCGTGACGTCACGCAGATAACACACGTGACTCTGTAAGCAGTGGATCATAGGTTGCAGAAAGTCTGTGGCGCCCCCCGCCAAGGGACGGCTGCAACGCTGCAGACGGCCTCCCCAATCCCCCACACAAAGAAGTCCGGCCCCGAGCCTAAGACCGTCCCCCCATCCAGAGAGACCGAATGTCCAGGCGACTCCACATGCACATGCTGCGAGACCCCCGAAGCGGCCGAGGCGCCGAGCCAGGCTGTCCGTGCTCCAATAACCCAGTACCGAGAGACCCTCTAGTCTCTGCAGCCATCCCTTGACGGGGGCGGGGGGCGCCACAGACTTTCTGCAATCTGTGGTCTACTGCTCACAGAGTCACGTGTGTTATCTGCGTGATGTCACGGAAGTGGTGGATTGCTCATTCCTTGACAAAGACTGGAGTTGTACAGTCGAAAATTTGGGTGAGTCCAATTTTATTGTGTTGGATATTAAAGCTCAAACTTGCTTCATAATGATTTCTACCAACACATGTACAGATGAACTTTTAAGATATGACATTTTCTCCTTAATGCCTAAGAAAACCACCATATATGTCTTGACTGACAAAACAGGTTTTCCTTCAGTCCCCTGTGTTTGACTATTGTAACGTTACATGTTACTGTACTACAGGATGGAGGATCATCACAGACAGATCCTGATAGAAAACCGAGTCAGGTTAGCCAAGGACATGAAGCCCAAATTTTTGTACCCCATCCTGGTGGAGAAGAAGGTCTTCAATGATGACATGATAGAGGAGATAGAGGTAAGCCTAGAAGGTGCATTAATTCATGGCACGCCGCCGTATACACCACTGAGGCCTGGGAAAAAAAATGTTGTGTTTCCTGTTTCCCTACCGATCCTAGAAAAACCCGCCGACCCTAGCCCCTTTTTTGGTGAATCTATCCAGGTACATACTAGGCCTGACACAGTGTTCAGGATAAAGGAATTTTTTTTTTGACAACCACAAAAAACTTTCCCGCCTTGCTTACATCTACATTCGTTACATGTAGGGTCGAGAAACAAAATGAAGCTCTGAGGAAGGTGTCCGATGGACACCAATGTGGTGTCGGTTGGCATTGTGGTAGCATTCGACTGATATAAAATGGCAAGTTCAGACATACACCCCGAGTTGCTATAACCACGCTGCGCTCACTTGGTGGCTTAATCCAGTGGTTATAGCAACTGCCAAGGCTTTATCACACCATATTCACACTATTATTATATTGTTTTAAAGAATTAACTGGTATATTTTGTCATAGGTTTTCTACTCTTGATACATTGATCAAACTTTCAGCTTATTGGTTTGGTGCTAAAAACTAAATGTGTTTTATGTTTGACCACTCCTTTTAGTAAGTTTTAGTTGTTGCAATGTCCAAACTGCTGAGATTTGACCAGTGTAATGCCTTATTAAGAGTTTCTATTGTTTCTATCATGTCCAGGCTGCTGGGACCAGGTTTGACCAGTGTAATGCCTTGTTAAGAGACCTCCCAGGAAGAGGAAAACATGCGTTCCAGAGTTTTGTAGAAGCTCTAGATGAAGCGGAACAGACGGACCTTGCAGACCTTCTGCGGAGTGGTCTAAAGGGAACAGGGAGCAGAGAACCAATCACAGTTCCTCAACAACCATCAGGTGAGGAATGCAGACTTGTTACCTGGTGACTGAATATATTTTGTAGAAATTCATGACCTCTGACCTCTCAGACATCTAGTACATAATTGTTTTTTTTGGTTAACTGTATGATGTAATATTAATTGAGGTAATAATTGATGCTTAATGTGTAAATTACTATGTTGATAGATAAGTTTTCTTGACAGCAGTTAAACGTGTAATACTATGTAAATAATAGTTAATGTGTTTTATGTAAAGGACTCCAAGAAGAATAGTGATGTATTGTCACTAATGGGAGCTTCCTAAATAAACAAACAAACAATTTGAAACTGAAAGGTGTCTTTAAACCCCCATGCAAACACTGGTCAACAAAATGAAGAAGAATATATATCCCACTCGGATTAGAATTAGTTAGACTCGGCTTAGAACAGTTGTGGAAAAAAGGGATGTCCCTTGGAGAAATTCTGAATGCCTATACAAACTCAATTTGCATTTTCTGTATTATGTAATATTTGTAAAATGACAAACATGTATCCAGGCCCCTACTCTCCTAATTCAAACTCACAGGACCAAGCTGTGGCACAATTTTAGTATCCAAGATCTGTTTTTCCTTTGCTTGTTGCTTCTACAGTTTTCCCTGACCCAACACTTTCTAAACTGACACTTAGGCCACACCAATTTAATTTCTTGGTTAACGGATTCGCCCGCTTCATTATGGGTTCACCACAAAGTGGTGGTGAACCCATATTGCTTTTTTATGGGTTCACCACACCACGAAGTGGTGGTGAACCCATATTGCTTTTTCTGATGTTTCTTCTCCTCCTTCTCCTTCTCCTCCTTCTCCTGCCATTTTTTAAATGGATTCAGCTTCTTCATTTTAGGGCCCAAGGTCCTGAAATTTGGTATGGAGGTACAGTGGGCAAATACCCCTAGGCGTTTTTTAAATTATTGTGATACAGGCTTTTAGAATGGTTTTATTTGAGTTTTTTGGCTGTGTTATAGCAAATGTATTACTGTGTTAGTGTGCCTTGTTTACCACGTTTGGGCATGAGTCATCACAATGGAATGCAGGGCATCAACCAATAGGCATGCAGCTTTCCTCTATACTTCTTGCTGATTGGCTGTTGGGATTTAACTTGATTAACACCTGCATAGAGCATTTCCACCTGCACAGAGCATTTCTTGCTGATTGGCTGTTGGGATTTAACTTGATTAACACCTGCACAGAGCATTTCCATACTGACAGTATGTCTTTATTCAAGTGTTTTGGTAGGTATTTCAAGCTTTTCTGCTCCAGCATTGGAATGCGGGGCATGTAACGTTTTTTTTTTTTTAGTAAAATCAACAGTTTGCATTATGCAAATTAAAAATCCTAACCAATAAAGTAGGGAATAGCTATCCAACTGTTGTTTTAGTTGTATGTTACTTCATATTATAGTTATATCAATGTAAATCATTGTTTTCCCTTGTGTTTCTCATTCTTTCCCTGCCATGTCGTAAAATGTGGTGAACCCATCGCTATATTTGCTCCAAAGCAAATATTGGCCTTTCTAGTCTGATGTTTCTTCTTCTTCTCCTCCTTCTCCTGCCATTTTTTAAATGGATTCAGTTTCTTCATTTTAGGGCCTAAGGTCCTGAAATTTGGTATGGAGGTACAGTGGGCAAATACCCCTAGGCGTTTTTTAAATTTTTGTGATACAGGCTTTTAGAATGGTTTTATTTGAGTTTTTTGGCTGTGTTATAGCAAATGTATTACTGTGTTAGTGTGCCGTGTTTACCACGTCTGGGCATGAGTCATCACAATGGAATGCAGGGCATCAACCAATAGGCATGCAGCTTTCCTCTATACTTCTTGCTGATTGGCTGTTGGGATTTAACTTGATTAACACCTGCACAGAGCATTTCCACCTGCACAGAGCATTTCTTGCTGATTGGCTGTTGGGATTTAACTTGATTAACACCTGCACAGAGCATTTCCATACTGACAGTATGTCTTTATTCAAGCGTTTTGGTAGGTATTTCAAGCTTTTCTGCTCCAGCATTGGAATGCGGGGCATGAACGTTTTTTTATTTATTTTGAAAATCAACAGTTTGCATTATGCAATTAAAAATCCTAACCAATAAAGTAGGGAATAGCTATCCAACTGTTGTTTTAGTTGTATGTTACTTCATATTATAGTTATATCAATGTAAATCATTGTTATATTTCAGTCCATACCATGGTATGGATGAAATATATTGTGTTCTCTCATGTTTCTTCTTCTCCTCCTGCCAAACAGTCAGAGGGATTCAACTCCGCCATCATTCAGCCAAATGACTTGAAATTTGGCATGGAGGTAGAGTGGGCCAATACCCCCAGGCGTTTTTTTCAATTTTTTGATACATGCCTTTGAAAAATTTTTAAGAAGGTTTTTTGGGGCATTTTTCGCCAAAAAATGGATTTTTGGATCCTGAGCCCTGGTTTTACAACCAAATGATCTGAAATTCGGTATAAGGGTACCTTGAACATGTGTCTACAGAATAGCAGTCATGTATTTGGCATACACCACTTCCAAATGACTCATTTGGGGGTCTTTAATGGCTATTTTCAGCAAAAAAAGGGCCAAAAGTGCTGTACCCGTTCCATGTTCTATCTAAAGAATGGCCGGTTCCATCCATGGAACACGTGTTCCATTGCGGGTTACCTGAGGTCACATTGCACCTAAGTGGTGCGTAATGACCCACACATTCAATTTTATGTGCCTAAGACCTTCAAAATGTATCAAATCTCATCATTGTTAGTTTTTGCGTACCTGTAATAAGATTAGTAAAGCTTTCGAGATTCAAAGTACTTGTTGTTGCATCTTTGTTCTCATATTATATAGCTACTATTTAATTCATTTATTTGAGAACCTTTGCCAGTTTTGCACTGGGGTTAGTTTGGAATAGTCCACTTTTCCATGGGAGGGAGATGGACTGAAATATGCTGTATTTGCTCCCAAGCAAATGTCGGCCTTTCTAGTTTTCCCTTGTGTTTCTCATTCTTTCCCTGCCATGTCGTAAAATGTGGTGAACCCATCGCTGTATTTGCTCCAAAGCAAATATTGGCCTTTCTAGTTTTTTTTCTGATTTGCAAATAAAAAAAAAAATTCAGAATCAACTGCAAACTGCTCATATTTAGCCCTGAACAGTTGAAAACAGTCCTTTTCTTCCTGCTAGTTGTTACAGTTATTCCATCTTTCAATGCAATGGTATCATTAAAAGTTCAAAATTCATTGTTTAAATTTTGAACCAGCCTGGTGTGTTGACTTCATGGCTCCTATCGTACCATTTTGGGCCATAATAGGATGCCTAGGCCTGTTTTAATTTTTATTTCTTTCTTTCGCCAGCCCGTTCCATTATTTTTCTAGAAAAATCCGTTAACCAAGAAATTAAATTGGTGTGGCCTTAGCAAAAATTCATGACTTCTTTTCCAAGTTTTCTTTTTTCACCAACATGTTTCCAACAAGTCAGCTTTCTCCATCAGGATGTAGTGACCTGTTACTGAATAATAATTCATATGACAATCTGATGTAGCAATGATGTCTGTTGTTTTCTTTGTCAGACAAACTAGATGCATATCCCTCAAGAGGACCACAGCCAAGTGACCCAACAAGGGTAAGCAACACATCCAACCATCACAAAATGTGCTCATTAACTATACTCGGTTGGGTTAAGGCGGCCTAGGATTATGGGAAAGTAGTATTCTATACATATGCCTGTAACTTTTGATAGCTTGGTCACACCGCGATGAAACTTCACACAATTTTAGTTGTACATAAAACGCATTGAATAAAAGGTACTTCTGTCAGTTTTCTACACTTGGATTTGGGGTTAGAAATACACATTTTGGCTAAAAAAATAACCGTTTATTTCATGAATTTACGCGCAGGCGGTAATAACACCATCCATCGTTATATTTTACAAGATGAAAGCCAACCTCATACAGGTTATTTCTGTCCGAGGCTACTTTGTTTAAAATGGGTATTTGTTTTAGTTTTGGGTCAAAATCACAAGAAACAGCCATTTTTGGCATTTTTGGTTTGAAAAATCGCCCCAGTAAGAAAACATCCAAATATATGCAAAATAGCCTCGGACAAATTTAATTAGAAAGTGATAATACGTAATGGATTACTTTAAAGATCAATTATGTTGTTTTCAGTTGTGCGTAAAGCCGTTTAAGTCATACTCCGTGAATAAAATGCGTAACAATGCGGGTTTACAGGGTAAACATACAAATGACCGCCGGTAACCCAGAATTCGAACACTCGTTCTACGCGAACATGGTGGAACATGATTCGGGTTCGAAACATGTCTGTGGCCATCGTGCAGGCACACGCCCGAACTCGAACATGAATATCAGCCTAGGCCGCCTTAACTCAACCGAGTAACCCCTTTAATGCTTGTTTAAAGGTTCTGTTTTGGCACTCTTTATTAAGTTACTTTAAGTGAATGTTATGTATGCTTTTCAAATGAATATTACATTTAAGCTACCTTTATATTTGTCTGTATAGCTATATAAATAGTGAGTGGCACTCATTTAAGCAGCTTTTAAGCCATTTAAAGTAAGAATGATGAAAGTGAAGGCTTAGCTTAAATTGTAATGTTTAAGGTACATATAAGCACTGTAAAGTGTCCTTCTGTGTGTGTACTATGAAACTTTTGGTCCACAAAGAGATTTTAGTAAATGTGAATTCAGAATGTGATTGTTGGCTTCTAAGCTAATATACAGGCTTTACATCACTTGATGTCCTGCAAATACTAACCCCACAACTTATAAGAATCCTGGAGATTCTCTTTTTCTGGCCATCTCTGTAACTTTCTATTGTAGTTAAGAGAGGGTTCAAAGCCAAAAACACTTCTGAGGAAATCTGTCAGATATTGTTGACATTTCCTGCCATTTCTTAGCACATTCACATCATCATCTCATACTTTAAGCATTTGAAATAGCCCCCAAAACAAGCTACTAGTATGTAAATAGAGTCCCTTTATTTTTTGCTAGCACCAATGCATTATTAGGTATAACCAGCCTATGATACAAAACAAGCAACAGTGCATTTTCCTCACTGATATTAGTATGCTACAATGTATAGGATAGGATTGGTTCAACTTAGTACCAGAAAATTGACTTTGAAAATCCTGTTGTACTGCCTTTAACGTATTATATTTATATTTTACTACTAAGGAAAATACTTGATCTAATTACAGGTGTACACAATGACTGCTCAACCTCGAGGCATAGCTCTAATCATCAACAACAAGACCTTCAGCGGCAGACTGAACACTAGAACAGGCACAGATGTGGACTGTAGCAACCTCACAAGACTCTTCACTTTCCTCAACTTTGATGTGAAAGTGGAACCCAACAAATCAGTAGCGGTAAGTTTGCGTAACAACATGGGAACATCTCAGTGAGATTGGTGTAATGTTTTTCATCATTTATCTGGTCGTGAGAGTTTCACAGATGCTCGTGCCTCTTTTCCGCCAGCCCTCCCTATCCTCCATGGCCCTTGGCAGGTCTTCCGGTCTGCAGCCCGCATCCTCACATAGTTGGTGTATGTAGGTTGTGCAGGGTCTGCCTACACTGGCATTCCCATGTTTGGGTGCCAAGAGAAGGACGTCACTAACAATCTCTTCCTTACTCCTCCAAGACTGTCCAGGAAAACAGAGTCTCCTCTCACGGATGACTTGAGATATGACTTTAGTAATGTTTTTAACAACTAATCATTGAATGGAAAAGAGGACCAAGGACATAAACAATCGTATATTGTAGCATATTCATTGTTCAAAGCATTGTGTATGTTAAAATGCTTGGTTGGTTAGTGAATTGTTGTTTGGGTCAGATTTTTTTTTTATTATTTATTTCATGGTTCACCACAAAACAATGCTATTATGACACCACTCAAAATGTTTTGTGTTACTGTACAGCCAGTGAGGTTTGTTGACTTTAGACTTGAAAAGTTTAAGGTTCATATGGGAAACAATCACATGGTAGCTTATTCCATAGTGATGTTCTAGGAAAGAAGCTTTCAGCATGGAAATTCCTCCTATACAGTAAGAGGTAGTGAATGGAGGAAGAAAGGATGCCTTCCATGTAGATGGAAAGTTGTAATAAACAAATAAGTAAAATTTGTCTCCACATTTAAGCCAATTGTTGTCAGATTGAAAACCTTTTTCAGCATACCCGCACTTACTGGTGCTCTGGTGAACAAGACAAAATTTACTGTTACAAATCAGAGTTTGTAAGTTTTTGACTTTCACAGATACACAATATTAACATACAAGTATTTAAACTTATTTCAGGAAATCCGTCACCTGTTACAGCATTATTCTCAAGTGGACCACGGCAGCTATGACTGTTTCATCCTGACCATCCTCAGTCATGGAGTAGAAGGGCAGATCTACGGCACAGATGGACAACTCCTGCCAGTCAAGGAAATAACTGCCTTCTTCAACAACCGTTACTGCAAGACTTTAGTCGGCAAACCAAAGCTGTTCTTCCTGCAAGCTTGCAGAGGAGGTATGGCCATCTGATATGTATTTCTGTCAAATCCATGAAGATTTCATTGAAGAGGTTCATCAGTTACATAGAATTAACAGCTAGTAGAAATTCTTCGATCAGTGACTGTATTTTTGTAAGGTTGATTACGTACCTCCAAATTTTTGGTGTCGACTGTACACCTTGATCACAGAATGACCTAGTCTCGCAAAAACATGAGACTAGGTCGAGACTTGTGTACATCATAGACCAGGAATCCCGGAAGGCACATACTAGAAAGATTAAGGAAGTGGTACACATCCAGTTGGAACGTGCCGGGATGAATCGAAATGAAGGTTGGGAGCTGCCCAAGTCCTACCTACCCCTACTCCACAAGGAGGCGGGGGAGGTCAGAAGATCCACACAAGTCTCGACCTAGTCTCGTGTTCTCGCGAGACTAGGTCATTCCGTGATCAAGGTGTACAGTCCACACCGAAAATCTGGAGGTACATGTACGTGATCTACCTCACAAAAATACAGCTACTGATCAAAGAATTTCTACTAACTATGAAGATTTCAACATTCAGTAGTAGAGGGATAAATCTCTTTGAGTACTATAGCAGACAATTGAGATCTCATCATAAACGACAAGACCAAAAGAGAGCTGGGAGAGCTCTGTCCCCATTAGAAGAGACTCCAAAGAGAACTGCTGTAGATTCCTTCTTGACACCTAAGGTAGAACAATAGATATGGGGATTAGTGTCTAACCCTAACAATAACATAAAAACAACAACATAGCAGCCATGTTTTCACAGGTGATTTTGAAAGAGACTTTTTAAACAATGGAAAATTATGTAAGAAATTTACAGTTTCAAAAAAGAGACTTGTAAGAGTATATGCAAGAGATCTGAATTTAGGAGAACAATGCCTAATCCAAAGAGATCTGCTGTTTTCTCAGTTGTCCGCTAGAGTACTCAAAGAGTTTTATCCCTCTACTAGTGATTATCACCCTCTTTTTGTTCTGTTCGTGGTGAGAATTTGTGATTCTGAATGATAAGTTAAGTACTAGTGTGCCCTGTTAAAGGACATTTTGTCATGTGGAATGAGGTCGTACTAATATAGCCACCATCTATAGATAATAGTACGGACTGGGAACTCTACATGATACTGTACGTTGTATGTCATTTTCCCTATCACACATTCAGAACCTTCCCCCAAACACTAGCTTGAAACAAGGTTGGCTGAAGCCCCTTTCACACATTTTAAAAATCTTTTCTCCGAACACCAACCAATCTAGGTTGGCAGAAGCCCCTATCACACATTCAGAACCTTCCCCCGAACACTAGCTTGAACCAAGGTTGGCTGAAGCCCCTTTCACATTTTAAGAACCTTCCCCCGAACACCAGCCAACCAAGGTTGGTATCCCGTCACACATTCAGAACCTTAATAGAAATACAAATCAAATCGACTTTGAGTTAAAAATGAGCCAAATTTGATCCCTAAACATGCCCCAAACACTGCTGATCATGACCTACTCTTGAACACCAGCCAACCATGTCCAACCTCCTGTTCACACTCTAATCTTCAAACATTTTGAAACATCAACTGGTGCAGCTAACAGTAGCCAAGCTTGCGGAACACCAGCCAAACACTACCGATCTTACTTCTGACTTACCCTAAACATAGCTAAACATGGCCTCATGAACATTGCTGGACTTCCCCACCCATGTTTAGCTATGTGTGACATGGACTTCAGGAACACACAGATGAGAACCTTCCCTGTTAAAATAAACAGACTATGGAAAAAGAAAGAATGGCATAATCTATAGACTATACAGCCACATGAGTCATGACATGATTTTATATTAGAAATGATTGACAATGGACAAGGCAAAGGGGCAACTATTGTCACACATAAGACAAAGTGCATAGGGAATTTTCATTTGCATCTGTCTGTGTTTGTGTATCTGACATTGTATGTATGGATCAGATTTTTTTTTGTTGAAAAATTCTGAGTGAGTGCAGTGAGTGAGTAAGTCAGTCAGTGAATGAGTGAGAGTGAGTGAGTGAGAGTGATTAAGTGAAAGTGAGGGTGGGTGAGTGATGAGTGAGTGAGTGAGTGAGTGAGTGAGTGAGGGGTGAGTGAGTGAGTGGGTGAGTGAGTGAGTGGGTAAGTTAGTGAGAGAGTGAGTGAGGGGTGAGTGAGTGAGACTGATTGAGTGAGTGAGTGAATAAGTGAGTGAGTGAGTGAGTGAGTGAGTGAGTGAGTGAGTGAGTGAGTGAGTGAGTGAGTGTGTGAGTGAGTGAGTGAGTGAGTGAGTGAGTGAGCAAGTGAGTGAGTAAGTGAGTGGGTGAGTGAGTGATCCCAGGTTAAAAACGTCACATTTTTGTTTTATCAGACAAAATAGACCGTGGTACAGATCAGACGGATGCAGACTCTGCGGAACCCCCATTCACACCCACAGAAGAAGAGTTGTTAGGACAGATGTTGGAAGAGTCCATTGGCCTGGAGGAGACAGACGCTATGAGGGACACCCTGCCTACAGAGTCAGACATGCTGCTGGCTTATGCCACTGTCCCAGGTACATATAGGATTGATAATAATGTGCTAACAAGTTATTTTCAGTTTCTTTATCAACTTTATCAACATCTTGATCATGATCAACAAAGAAATGTTAAGTGTGTCTGAGTGTGTTTAGATATCTGTATCTGTATAGCCAGTATAACCGCCCTTCGGCATAACACACCAGCTTCTGTGTATCTGTATAGCCGGTATAACTGCCCTTCCGCATAACACACCAGCTTCTGTATCTGTATAGCCGGTATAACCACCCTTCCGCATAACACACTAGCTTCTGTATCTGTATATATATATATAGCCGGTATAACCGCCCTTCGGCATAACACACCAGCTTCTGTATCTGTATAGCCGGTATAACTGCCCTTCCGCATAACACACCAGGTTCTGTATCTGTATAGCCGGTATAACCGCCCTTCGGCGTAACATACCAGCTTTGCAGGCAGGTGCATGGCGCTGCGGCAGCTACATCACACCAAACGACTAATGTTACACCTAATCCTGGAAACATCTAACTCTAAACATTGTTTAAAGCTATCAAAGGATAATGCCACTACTGTACTAGGTGACAGTGAGTTCTACTCTGCGATACATCTAGGAAAGAACATTTTTGAACACCTCAATCCATGGTTGATGAACTCTGGTACTTGAAGGCATGACTATTTCTTGTTCTTTTCTGGGCTGGTACTTAGTAGTTTCACTCGGCAATTAATGCACAAAATTGCAAATTTTCACGTACGATAATCCCATAGAAAAAAATTTCTGGCAGAAATGACTGATGCTGGCAGAAAGATCCAAACCTTGACTATACCTGAGTAAATTATGTAGAAAATTCTAGTGCTGGAATTTTCAAACCGTCCACAGCACGAGGGGTGGCAAATCCACTCCTAGAAAGGCACAGAGCAAAATCTAGATCAAACAGATGGATTGCACTTAGCGCAGAGGATTACCCTGAAGTAAGGTTCGGTGCAAAAAGAAATTTTCACTCCAAAATCATCATTTCTTACACTCTTCAGCCTTGTTAATGTTTAATGATATTTCGTGGCAGTTTATGAGAAATATCACCTCAAACTTGGAGCCTCAAAACTATTTCGTCACTTTTTTTACCACGGACTACCATGGACACCGGTCGCGAAAAAACTGGGGTGTGCACCGTTTATGAAAGAGAATCTTATTATAATTTCCTCTGCCTGTACAGGTTTCGTGTCTTGGAGAAACAGCCAGGATGGCAGCTGGTTTGTACAAGCCTTGACTGAAGTCCTGCACCAGTACGCACCAGTGGAGGACCTGTTGTCTATGTTAACCATGGTCAGTGCGTGGTACAAATAATTTTTCTCAGTGGTATGCAATATTGCATGACATTGTGTCAAAATTTTGTTCTGCAATTGCACTGCAGTTACTTTCTGCAAATAAACAATCGTTTCTGCTTGTAGAAGTTTTTCTATAGCTGCTGCAATGTTACAGTCAAAATTTGATGTAAACGTATTTGGGATGTTTGTTCAGGTGAATGACAAGGTGGCCACCAGGTTCCAGTCAGCTGGGAAGAACAAACAGATGCCAGCACCTGTCACTATGCTGAGGAGGAAACTGTTCTTCAACCCAGGACAGTAACAGCAGTGCTATGTGACAGGATGGTAACAGCAGTGCTGTGTGACAGGACAGTAACAGCAGTCCTGTGTGACAGGACAGTAAAAGCAGTGCTGTGTGACAGGGCAGTAACAGCAGTGCTGACGGGACAGTAACAGCAGTGCTGTGTGATGGGACAGTAACAGCATTGCTGTGTGACAGGACAGTAAAAGCAGTACTGTGTAATAGGACAGTAACAGCAGCACTACACAGCCTCCAGTGTGCTGTCATCATGCACAGGGACAGATTGTATCGGCATAATTGCACTGGAAATTTTAAATGAAATTGAAAATTAAGGAGAATAGTCTATCATGAAAGTTCATCTCTGTTGCTAGTTACATGTTTGAAGTTAAAACTTTTGATCTAACAGTTTGTAATTTTCTAACCTAGAGCTTTCAACCAGCACCTCTGGTCTTCCTCTGTAGACTGACCCAGTGAGGCGTGTTACGTAGCTTCTTTTAAGTGTGACTAGTGGAAAGCTGTTGGATCAAAAGTTTTAAATAAAAAAAGGAACAGTTAAAAAGCACAACTGTTGCATGTATGGACAATTTTTCAACAGGTCGTTAAGTCTCCAAGCAGAAATTTAGGTGACTTTATGAGGCTTTCTTTTTTGCTGGTATCTTTTCTTTGCCAGTACATACAATGTATAGATGTCGTATTGGATACTGCCCTGCCAATTTGATACTGTCTTGCAAATTTGATACTGTATTGAAGCCACCCAATGATCTGCTTGGAGATTAGGTTATAAATTGCTGAACAACAATTTTATTTGTACAGATAATGTCCATATCCATGGAAATATGGTGTAGTTGTGAAAATTGCCACTTTAATGTAATGCAGGGCTGGAAATACTCAGGGTGCGCCAAAAATCATATCCAGTTGCTTGAGTAGCTATTTTTAGTTAAAAACAAAGCAGTTAAATGGTCAGAAGTTTTAAACAGTTTCAGAATGGTTCCAAACAATTCTCCAGTGTCAATGCCAAAAGGTACATGATGCTACTTAAAATACCTGACCATTTCCAAAGTCATATCAAGTTGTTTGAGTTACTCAATTTTTTTTTTACTTGTCGTATTACCTGGATGTCTAAATTTTAACGACGCATATTCACCTTAGTGCAGGTAAAATTGGAGCTGTGCAGGTATTTCTGATGTCTACCTGCACCTAACCTGCACTGGTCCATGTACTGGGTATATGCAGGTTAGTGCAGGTAAAATTGGAGCTGTGCAGGTATTTCTGATGTCTACCTGCACCCAACCTGTACTGGTCCATATACTGGGTATATGCAGGTTAGTGCAGGTAAAATTGTATCTGTATCTATAGGTATTTCTGATGTCCACCTGCAACTGTGTACAGGGTTTATAATGGACATTGAAACTTTGAAACTTTATTTGAGTCCACCGCTAGTCTTCCTGGCATTCATTCATACATACAATTATACATATATACATACGTAGTTGACAAAGTCACAAAACAACATCTTGCATGTATAGTGTGTTTTAATAGATTTTTATTTGCAGGATTGACTGTTACCACCTATGAGGAATAAATCCAAGAGATATAAAGGCAATGGTTTCTTAAATATTTTAGTATCATCCATATTATATTGCCGGGCATATATACTTCTCTGGAGTCTGAGTGGTGTTACTTGCACTAGTTCAGGTATGCAGAAGTATTTCAAGGCCTCTAACGTCATGGTCGACATTTAGTTTAATTTCCACTTTATTGTTGTTACAATACTGTAATACTTAAACGTTACTGTTGTTTAAAATACAAGACATGCAAACTTGACTTTTTCGGCCAAAAGAAAACTTGTCGTAGCTAATAGTTTACTATACATGCTGTAAAAGACTACTTGGTGATATAGTTTTTTTTTTTCTTGTATTTCCCGAAATTGATGCCAGCAAAACTTAAATGAACAGACAAGACGAGACAAGATGTATTTCAACTTTTTCAGCTTTTCCACAAACTCTATTTAATATATAGCTCAGTGGAACATAGATTGTAAGTCAATTGACAATATGAGTAAATTGTTGAGGATGCGAACAATCTTCATTCAGTTTACATGACATTTTGTACTTGATTCTAGTTTAAACTCTTTTTTACAATGCAAAGGAACAAAATTACAATGTTCCTATACTTCCTCTAACATTTGAAACAAACGTTTTGTAGTCATGCAAAATTCAGCTTACCTTAGAATTTTTATTTCATTTTCTTGCATAAATGTTTTTAACCTATTGAAAGAGACATATGGGCTATCACCTGGTCAATATAGTTAAGGTAACCCAAGATATATTTGTATATTATTTTGTGGCGTTCTTTTGTATCGGCCTGTATGGAGGGAAGGGTATTGGATGGATGGATATCCGATGGATGGATGGATGGATGGATGGATGGATGAATGGATGGATATCCGATAGATGGGTGGGTGGATAGATGGATGAATGAATGAATGAATGAATGGATGGTTGGATGGATGGATGGATGGATGGATGAATGGATGGATATCCGATAGATGGGTGGATGGATGGATGGATGGATGAATGAATGAATGGATGGTTGGATGGATGGATGGATGGATGGATGAATGGATGGATATCCGATGAATGGATGGATATCCGATGGATGGATGGATATCCGATGGATTGATGGGTGGGTGGATGGATGGATGGTTGGATGGATGGATGGTTGGATTGATGAATGAATGGATATCCGATGGATGGGTGAGTGAATGGATGGGTGGATTGATGGGTGGATGGATGGATGGGTGGGTGGATGGATGGATATCCGATGGATGGATGGGTGGGCGGGTGGATGGATGGATGGTTGGATGGATGGATGGGTGGGTGGATGGATGGATGGATGGGTGGGTGGATGGATGGATGGATGGATGGTTGGATGGATGGATGGATGGGTGGATGGATGGATGGATGGATGGATGGGTTTTGTGTATGGTTTGGTGGATAGGTGGGTGGATGGATGGATGGATGGTTGGTTTGTTGGATTAGTGAATGAATAGATGGATGGATGGATGGATGGACAGATAGAATTTGAAGGCATTTAATCACCAAAACAACAGGATTTTACGCCATAAAACCGTTACAATTAGCTATAGTCATCACTTCTTTAAAATATGAACAGAACAAGAAAGGTAACATTGGCAAAACAAATACGTAACTTTCACATTCGCATATGTTTTGCTATGTATTTCACTCAACGTTCTTTTCGACATAGAGGATAATGTTTTAGGTACTTTGCTTACATCAGCTGTCACATCTTGTCACCTTTGAGACAAATCAGGTCACATAAGTCCGTGTTACACATTCACGGATTTGGCCATGGTTATAAGTAGGGTCTGTAGAATTTTAAATGTTTTTATTTATTCCAACTTGTAATCAGAATACGTGATGATGGCACAGTCAAGCTTTTCAACTTATATTAATGCCGCCACCAACACAGGGGACAATACAATACTCATTTGCACATGAGCGAAGTGAGGAAAGTCGTGTAAAGGGCCTTTCCCAAGGGCACAAGATTGGTGGCATGTCAGGACTTGAACCCGGGACCTCTTGGTTCTGAGTCGAGTACTCTGCCGCTACGCCACACGACCCCACAAATGTTTAAATCGGGAGGTTGGACCATGGTTGGCTGGCATTCGTGGGGAGGTCGTGAATGTGTGACAGGGGCTTTAAACACTCCAATACATGATGATCGGAACAGATGCCGTGGTGATGATAAGATACACGACAAGACATAGCCTGTCCAGGACGTTAGCCAGCAGGGTGTAGTCGGACACTTCCGCCTCCGTCTTCACGCTGGTCAGACCTTCGGCCATCATCCTTACCGTCTTGGTCAGTTCGTCCACACTGGAGACCAGGCGAACAGATCCCGCAGCTTCGGCGGACACAGTAGCTGTAGGAGGCTTGGATGGCTTGCCGATGATCTTGGGGTCTTGGCGCTCTTCTTCAGCGGTGCTTTCTCCATCGCCCGCCGCGGTGTCGTCGTCCTGAATGCCGCTGTTGGTGTTCTCGTGGACAGCGCGCTTGGCCAGGCTTTCCTCGTCAGTACCGGAAGCCGTGCTGGTTTGCTTCTGTGTGAGATCTCCTAGGAGAAGCATCCTTTACAAATGATATAATATACAGAATAAAGTTGAGCCCGCTGAGTGTGCAAGAGTCGGCAAAGCAACTTTACCACTATGGCATTCGTACACTGCTCTGCAAGCAGAGGTTTAGGCGTTAGCTTAATTTTGGACGTACTTTTTGGAGTTTTTAACTGGCTTTGTTCATAGTACTGGTATCTTTTTTTTTTCTTTTTTTACTTCGGTGGCAAATAGTAACTGCCTGGCAAATAGATACCATTTGGCCAATTTGATACTGTCTTTGCAGCCACCAAAGCATCTGATTAAAGATGACTTGTACATCTGCCATCTGCAGTTCGTAAGAAACCTGCAGTATTAAACAAAGCTACAGTCAAAGGATTGCTTTATAAGAAGTGATTATCAATATCTGGGGTTTCCGTTACAAAGAATACTCAGTACGTAGCCATGCAGGGGAGAAAAATAACACTCATTGCCAGAGAGAGGCGCCCCTCTTTGTTTTATAATAAGGTCACACTGATTTAAGTTTATTAATGACATCTTCTCGCGCATTGATGTTCGTAAAAAAGCACCACCAGGAGGTTCTGGCTTGGGTGCCTCCGTAGTCCATACATACATGTATGGTAGCTAGCGACAATATGGTGCCGGTGGTAACTACGGAGGATGGCACCTCAGACCTCAGTACAGCGCCGAATCATAAATACGGCAAAGACCAGCATGTTCCGGCCTATTGTAAAGTCGCTACGTACTATTGCAAATTCGCAGCTTTGTATTCCTGTGGTTTAACCTGACCTGTGGTTTAGCAGCATTTTCGTTTTTGCTGGAGTTTTTTCATTCGCCCGCGCGCAGTACTTCGGGGGTCTTCAGAGGATATCATGCATACTTTAGTCAGTGTGGTCTAGGCGATTATGAAAATCCCCCCACGAACACAACTTCTCAGTCTCTCCCTAGAAAAGAATATTCAGTACCAAGCCATATAGCGGAGAAAGATAACCCTCGTTGCCGGAGACAGGCGCCCCTCTTTGTCGTGAATGCTGATGATGCCCATCGTGGCGAAGAGGAAAAGTCCCATCACGCCCATGCACACGATGATCAGCGTGGCTGAAAAATTGAAGACGAGAAATCTTAAATTACTAAACTTAAACTCTCTTCTATAATTGCTGGTTAATACCATAGCCAATACAGTTTTGTGTGTCAAAAGACTTTCTCTGCAGGAAAAAGATTCAAACTATGTTTAATTTGACCATTTGTGCCTGATTTGAAAGTACATTTGGTATCCATCCCAGAAAGGGAGCTAACTTTTGTTGACGAGGCTGAAGAAAAGTTCTAAACGGGAACTATGCGGCTCCAGATGTCTTACTGAGGGACGGCTGCGTGTGCGAGATGTCGGTTAGCTTGAGGAATGAATCCCCTATACTTAACTTTTGCTGATGAATCGTTTCAAGTTAGGGCATGTTGATTTGATTATATGGATGACATCCGCGCGCGCATGAATTTTCGGCCGTTTCCAAAAAAAAAAGTTTTCAAGCATACTGTAAATCGTGTAAAACAGTTGCTAAATGAGCAAAAATATACTAGTACCATAACTTGCAAGGAAAACATTTAGAAACGACACCAATGTCGTAGAATGCCAAAATCAAAGGAAAAAAAGACAACAATGTAAAGAAATGAATTCGAAGAGTAGATTATTTGCCATAACATATTCTGTGCTATTTGTTCAACCTTCATGACCACGTAGATTTCATAGTGAAAGCAATTTTTTTTTGCAAAACTTTTTTTTTATTCGCACGCGCGCATCAGTTTTGGGGTTCCCAGAGGATGTCATCCATATCATCAAATCAACATGGCCTTACATGCATATCAAACCTTTCACACATTTAAGCTATATCTTTGTTTAATAATTCTGGTACGACGCTATATTTACAAGGTTTACATAATTCTAATAATGCAGATAAAACTTCAATCAGGTTAACCAATAAATCTAACGGGAAAGTCTTTAAATTCTCTTTAAATATTTGATTCTAACATATCTGATGCTGACAGTAACTACAAATATGCCATACGGTAAGTATGTAAATGCTTGGAAAGTAATTGTCGTGCAGTTAATTCATTAAACATCTACAGCTCCACTGTTCCCGTCCATTCTACCCACAAGTATCCAACTAGATTTTCCAATTCTTGCAGTTTCAAACTGCCTAAACCAAAAACAAACAGCAAAAAGCGAACATCTCTCTACCGCGCCATTAATCTATGAAACACCCTGCCACCCAGTATAAAAAAAAACACTGACCAGTCTGCGTCAATTCAAAAAGGCCATCCACCAGTTGTACATGAGTTAAGTTGTATATATCAAGTCATGATCGTTTTGTTTACCCTGTATATAATTTGTAATGATTATGTATGTTCATTCTATTTTAATTTTGATGTCAGTATGCTTGTATGTTTTATTGTTTTGAACCCTGGAAGATTAGTCACTGACTAAAGGATATCGAAATAAACGAAACGAAGTTGATTCGGTGTGCGTTTCGTTCTACCCTAGTGTATGTAATAACAACTGCGAATAGAAATCTGCATATCAAAATCACAAATTGTGCATCTCAAACTTTTGTGCTTGGCTCCATCAAGAATGTACCAAGTATAAATTATCAAATCTAAACCTCCTAGTCAATACACATTACTTAATGTGCTATGGCGCTATATTTGCACGGTTGATAACTGTAAGCTGAATTGTAATGATGCAGATAGAATTTAATTCAAGCTAACTATTTTAACGGGAAAGTCTTCAGATTCACTTTAAATATCTGAAGCTCACATTTTAACGGGAAAGTCTTCAAATACCCTTTAAATATCTGATGCTGATAGTAAATACATACAAATATGGCATACAGTAAGCCTGTACATGCTTGGTAAGTAATTGTCTCTCAGTTAATTTTCCTTCGTGCCACCGTAGTGTATACGTATGTCACGACACCTGTTGGGTTTTGGAAGGGTTTCGGTTACATATTATGAAATATCTCGGAGGCGAAACTGTGTTTAGCACGCATGTGATACATGTGATTGACGAAGAGCTCTGCTGTGGTGAAGCAAGACAACGAAACTTTAACTCCAACACCGGAAACCGGTAAACCACTTAACTTTAGCACAATTCTGAAACAATAATAAAACAAAAATTGTCCACAGACTATAGATGTTTTCATGGTCATTGCTCTGCAGAACTCACCCAACTAGTTCCACCACTCAGATCTTTTAAGTGTTCCACTAGCTTCTCCACTAGCTCACACAACTTCACCGTCCAAATTCCTTTTTCGAAATCTTTTTACAGTGACAGTTTCTTTCTCCGTACGGCTAAGCTTTGGAATTCCCTCCCTGACAAATAAATCAAACATTCACCGACATCTCTTGACATAGCCATGTTTCTCTCATATTTATAGTTCAATGCCGTATAGGCCTCGCATTGAACCACTCCATTAAAAATAAGACTAGTATACTCACCGAAAAACGGCAGCGATCCCTTGACGGGAAGCACATCTGTAACAAACACGAGAGACACGACCATGGACAGCTGGATGGTCACTCCGAACGAGATCCGGTCTCCCTTGTCTATGGGCATGATGAAGGTGATGGTCATCAGTACGATCAGGATGAGACAGGGTCCGACAGTCGTGGCGATGTGGAACGTCGGGATGCGCGACAGATGGAGGGAGAGGCAGGCTTCCCTCGTGTCCTCCGCGAAAACCTGGTCACTCCGGTACCATTCTCCCTCCGGCGCCACGGGGATAACAGAGTCACACGGGTGGCTTTGTTCATCCGATGTCGAGCTTTTCTCGTGGCATTCTGTAGTTGTTAATAAAATAATATACACTCCGTATTATTACAGTCTCTATATAGACGGTAAACTAAAACGCGTTGCGTCTATGACAGTACGTGCGAGAGATTGGTGAGACTGAAAGATCTGCTCAATCCATGCTGGTCATTGCAGAAAGATTTGAAAGGTTCCGGTTTCATTCAGACAATTGCAATAGTGGTACGTGCTTGGTTGTAAAGAAATGCATCATCAACAGTTCTCCTAAATGTCTAGAGGAGCTCGAGGATAGCGATTGCTGCCTCAGCATTTGGTAGGCTCAGAAAAACAGTTTAGAATCGAAGGAATATTATTCCCAATTCCTACATATGCATGTGAAACATGGACCCTGAAAAAATCAGACGAACTTCTGTTATCCTTTGAAATGAAATGCTTAAGAGTGATACTCTGCATCACCCTGCGGGACCGCATCCTAAATGCAGAAATCCGGTCATGACTTGGGGCAGAACAAACCATCACTGACAGGATACGCACCAGAAGGCTCAGATAGTTTGGGCATGTGATGCGAAGACCAGCAAATACCTTAGTTTACAAGGCATACCACCAGGAGTTCAAAAACCCCAGACCCCGGGGAAGACCACCCAAGAGGTAAAAAGACCAGATTCAGAGTGACACAGGACTTACCCTAGGAAAAGCAGAGACTATTACCCTTGATAGAGCTGGCTGGAAGTACCTGACGGAGGGGAGCAAGGGGCCAGTATACCTGGCCTGTGCATATAGGCAGGTAGGCAAATATCTTGAAACCTTACGAATGGTTTGCTCGACTGCCGAAGTTGCGGAGAAACAGACACGACAATCCATGGTGTCGGCAGGAAACAGGAAGGGATCAGCATCACACACGCTGGTGGTCAGAGTTTCCACTCTCCAGTGCACCAGGCCGCTGCTGCTCACTACGACCGGCACGTTCTTAGGCAGGCCTTGGTAGAGTGGATTAGCACTGGAAGGAAACAAAATAAACGATTTTGGTATTCTGCCAAACATCGTCTCTGCATGTTTTGCATGTTGTGCTATATTGTCCTTTTATATCCCCTATGGGCTTAAGTGTAGTTTACGGCCGCAAACGTCGTTTTTTCATCCCGACAACATTACTGTGCGTTGACGATATAATACAGCTCCCGATGTCGTCTGCTTGCTCTCGGCCGTCTTATAATTGCTTCGGGGCTGTAGACTGCATTGGACTTTAAAATGCGTCGGACCTTACAACTGCGTCGGGGGTTACAAACGCGTCGGGCCTGATAACTGCGTCGGACCTTATAACTGCGTCGGGGCTTATAAACGCGTCGGGCTTTTAAACGCGTCGGGGCTTACAAACGCGTCGGAGGTCTTTCAATGCGTCGGAGGTTTTTCAATGCGTCGGAGCTTAGACTGCGACGAGGATTAAGTCCTTATCTAAACCTGCGACGGGGATTAAGTCCTTATCTAAACCTGCGACGGGGATTAAGTCCTTATCTAAACCTGTGTTTAATTGTGACAGTAGATAGTATTAGGATATCGTTGCCTTGGCTTCAACTCGTGAAGCTTCTTCTCTAAATGTTTAACATTTTTAGGAGAACCTTAAAAGCGCTTGCATGTATATATATATCCGGGTTGTTGAAATATGTATCCACATTTTTTTTATAAAAAAAAACACTTATACAACTACAAATATAAAAGTACAGACTAAGTGGCAGTAAAACCTATAGCTTCAGTGCACATTGAACTGGTAGCAATTCGCTTCAATACACAGTGAGATGGTAGCAATTCACTTCAATTCAGTATCAGTACAAAAGTGAGCCAGTAACACATTGATTAAACAGTGGGCCAGAAAACCTGGCTTCAGTACATAGTAAACCTGGCTTCAGTACATAGTAAACCTGGCTTCAGTACATAGTAAACCTGGCTTCAGTACATAGTAAACCTGGCTTCAGTACACGTTGAACATGCAGCACATAGCTTCGCTGTGCATGTACGTATCCACTTACTTTCTCTTGAGAGTAAATGCTGGAGTCCAAATATTGCTGCCGAGAACGCTCAGCGTCTCGACGCCACCGAAATACCTCGGGGTCCATTTCAGCCGGCTGTCGTACCATGTCTGGGAAAGATAAAGTACGAACGTTTTGTGCAAAGGGCCTCTAGCAGGGAAACTGTCCACTAATTACAATCCTAGTGAACGCAAGTAGTAAACGCTTTTACCAGAAAGGTACTGGCCGAACTGAATCACGGTTTTGTTCATTCCATAACAACGCTCGAAATGAGTTGACTACTAAAACTTAGTATCCCAATTTCTCTAAAATTACAGACCAAGAAAAAACTATTCTTCTCAAAACCCACAAATTTTGGAAAAGGTGGGGCATTACGTCTTCCGTGGTTTACAGAAGAAAAGTCAAACCCTTTAGACATAGTTTTAGTCATGTTCTAGACAGCTACCTCATCAGACTTTAGTTATTTTATACTCTATTTCATTGTTATTTAATGTGTTGTAATTATGCAATTAGCCTCCGGGCACGAATTTGCACTAAACTTTTCATCAGCACCCCCCCCCACTGGTTCCATGAAAGCTTGCCACAGCGACAGAGAATTATAAACTTCACTTGTACTGATTTTCAGATTCATAACGTTAATCATAACAAGTCTTGTTATTTGTTTATTTGTTTATTTACCATTTGCACGTATATCTAAAAAATTACACAATCAAATTATAACAATCAAAGAATATGCGGGGTACGCCAGAAACCTGAGTGGCTTTTTAAAAGGCCTACCCCAAACAAAGGTAACTTATGACAAAACGTATTTGAATTAAACATCAAAATTAAACAATGAAATAATTGATTAATTAAGCAAAATCAAGACGCAGAAATAATAACAGAAGTGGGTAAACTAACTAAAAAGAAATTAAACAAAAGTCTTATACATATAATTCAGGTAACTGTTACAAAGTACACTGATTAGATAATTAACATAAAAATTAACGATTAAAACAAGAGATTGAAAATAACAAGGAAAACAAGCAAGCAATGTAATTAAATCTTCTGGCTTGGAGATTGTGTAACACTTGGCTACTAACGGAAAGGTTAAAAAGTGCAAAATACTTCTTGTATGTCTTTCGAAACTTACAAAATCGATGATCAGAAAAGCAACGAGCTGCTCCTTCTTTTCATCCTGAAAGAGAAAAAAAAGAAAAAAAATTATTATGCATTATTATGTAGCCTCTACATTTTTTATACTGAATTTCCTAAGTAACGAAAAAGGATCTCTCAAAATGTTGCATTGCAGAGACAGAACTTACCAAGTCGACGATTTGTTCCAGCTTGCCCGTGAAGTTGATGACGACATTTTCAGGTGCCAGGCTGGCACTGTAGACCGCCAGCAGCTCGTTTTGCAGATTTTGTTTATAATGTACTAAAATGGGATGATAGATTTGTAAGTTATTTCGTTGTTAAGATCAAAATATTTCCTTTGAACATGAACTATTAACACGTATGTTCCGACTGTTTCTAACAACGTGAGCAAAATAGTCATATATTCAAAATAGCATAGAAAAACATAACAACCATTTTTGTTTATCATGAAAGTTCATCTGTGTTGGCAGTAATCATAGTAAAACATTGAACTTTATCCCAACACAAGTTTACTCGCATATAATAATATATAATAATTTTGCTAGTACTGATGATAGATAAAAAAATGATTATAAAAACTTTTATAACTAGAAAGGCCAATATTTGCTTTGGAGCAAATACAGCGATGGGTTCACCACATTTTACGACATGGCAGGGAAAGAATGAGAAACACAAGGGAAAACAATGATTTACATTGATATAACTATAATATGAAGTAACATACAACTAAAACAACAGTTGGATAGCTATTCCCTACTTTATTGGTTAGGATTTTTAATTGCATAATGCAAACTGTTGATTTAAAAAAAAAAAAAACGTTCATGCCCCGCATTCCAATGCTGGAGCAGAAAAGCTTGAAATACCTACCAAAACACTTGAATAAAGACATACTGTCAGTATGGAAATGCTCTGTGCAGGTGTTATTAACAATCACATAAACTATGAAGCCATACATTGAATAAGCTATACATATAATATGATTATCATAACCTTTATTTTTAAAATCATGCCAGTGAGCTAATTGCATGTACAGAGTGAAAGAAAGTAAAGTAAAGCAGTAGAATTTCTGTACTAGCTATGATAGTACTTCATATGATTCGTCCTCATCGTCATCATTCAATGTGGTCTATCTCTTGCTACTAGTGACTGGTAATACCTCTGTAGATTCTTCACACTGGCAGAGTACCGTACTCCTTCTCTCTTGTCAGCTCAATACTTTTGTGACAACATCAAAGTGATTTTAGTTTGTATGTTGGAAAAATACAAAAGACTAACATTCTAAGTTATTGACATTCTTGAGTAAGAACAATCAGTTTTTGAATGTTAAAAGCAAAACAACGAAAATAAAAAAAAATGTTGAAATTGTTAAAATGCAGAATTGTTAAAATTGTTAAAACTGATAAAATTGTTAAAAATGATAAAATTGTTAAAAATGTTAAATTGCTAAAAATATTAATGTCCGATGCACTGGGGTTCGAACTTGCAATGCCTGGGATTGCCGCCTTGCGCGTTTCCAACCGAGCTAACTCGGTGCGATACACATCACTCACTGCATTGTATGTCATAAAAAGTAAACAGCATGGCGGTATCGATCGCTTCAAGGCACCAAGACTTTCAACTATTAACTACGGGGTTTCCTTCTTTATCAGGTTTGCTTTTGAACCACCTTGATGTTACTTAACTATCAACCCTACAATTTTGGTGATACTTCGGAGATCGATAACAGAACCTAGATAATACTAGTTGGTAAAGATTGCGGAAAATTGTTGATACCGTGGCGCGCGCACCGACGATACACATTACGTACCGCGTAACTTTTTTGTTTACACGCCGGGCGCAGGTCATTGACCTCCAACTTGCGTTGTTCCAACAGAGAAGAGCAAAATGTCTGGCTCCCGCAGAACGTACCGCACTCTCCCGCTGGACGTACCGCACTCTCCCGCAGAACGTACCGCACTCTCCCGCTGGACGTACCGCACTCTCCCGCAGAACGTACCGCACTCTCCCGCTGGTCGTACCGCACTCTCCCGCAGAACGTACCGCACTCTCCCGGAGGACGTCCCGCACTCTCCCGAGGGAAGTCCCGCACAGCGTCCTGCACTCTCCCGCAGAACGTCCCTCGAAAATCGATGCGTATTTCGTGGCCTGTGCTGTACCTACCAAAACACTTGAGTTCATACTGTCAAAATGGAATGGCTTTGAACAGGTGTTAATTGAGTTAATCCAATCAAATCCAACAGCCAATCAGCAAGAAGAATAGATTGGTCTGCGTCAGGTTCATGCTTGCATGCCCATATATGGACATACCGCCGAATTCCTTTCTTATTACGTCACGCGCGCGCGCCCCCACAGTACTTTCCTATGGGGACCGCTAAAAAAGCAAATAAAACGATTGTAAAAGCTTGTATCACAAAAATTTAAAAAACGCCTAGGGGTATTTGCCCACTGTACCTCCATACCAAATTTCAGGACCTTAGGCCCTAAAATGAAGAAGCTGAATCCATTTAAAAAATGGCAGGAGGAGGAGAAGAAGAAGAAGAAGAAACATCAGAAAAAGCAATATGGTTTCACCACACCACTTCGTGGTGTGGTGAACCCATAAAAATTGTGTCTAATTTTAGTGTTCTTAATCTAACCTTACCAACTAATCAAGTTTTTATTAGTTTTTTTTTCCTTTTTTGAATGTTTTAAAACTTTTGATAGTTACTTTTGTTTATTTAGAACACCTTTTAGATGTTTTAGAACCTTGTCAGTTACCTTTAATTTGTTTATTTAGAACTCTCCTTAGAACACTGACTGTTTTTGTTTATTTAGAACTTATTTCTCTTTCGTAAATTCCTCTGTAAACATTCACTTGTACTGATGAAAGGTATTGGACGATACCTGAAACGTCTACAATTATAAATCCAATCCAGTTTGGAAAGAGTAAACTACTCTCTTATTATATTACCACCCTGGATGAGTAACCTTCACCAACTACTCCAGTATAGTTTGCAAGATGGGGAAAATAAATATAATCCAAAATCTGCGTGGTATTCAAAGGTATTGGAAGTTCTCACCTGAACAAACGGGTTTCTCATATTCCCAAATTCCTTCTTCGCTCCCTTCCAGGCACCTGACTTCCCTGGGAGAGCCGTACTCCAGCGTGTAGCCAGTGTTGCAGGTGTACGTGACTCTTTCGTCGACGAAGTAGAACCTTTTACTTGGTGTTCTCTGGCCGTAGTTGGGAGGACCTCTGTCCCAGCAGCCTACAAAATCTAGGATAGTGATAAAAGACTTGTAAACGCAACGGCAAAATCAGCATATTCATTGAATTCAAAAACAGGCAAAAGAACATGTAGGTGTGGACGAGATTTTTAACCACAGTTTCTTTTATAATTGACTTTGATGATAAAGAATGTTTCAAGTTTTAAAGTTTATTTATTGAACCAGGGTATACGTATCTTTGATCTGCGGATCTGTTTTTTTTAATATCTCTAGGCAGACATATTTAAAGATGCAGTCAATACATGTAAACAACAACACAATAATACGCAAACCATGTTACAAGTACATGCACTTGTAACATGGTATGTGTATTATTACATGTACAGACCCATAGACCAAATCAAAGGGATCACAGTATATGGACTTTTAGTTCAGTAAGTTTCCAGTTCCAGTCTTACAGTCTCCAGTCCTCTACAAACTTTTTTAAATGCTGACACTGATGTAAGTCGGCGTTCCACGTACAGTACTCGCTCTTTGAAATGTAACAAATGCAAACATATTTGCATGCTGAAGAAACAATGTCATTGTAAACTAGAGCTCGGAGATCTCATGCCTTCGTCAGAGGGACATTCTCAAGATAACTGCAGTGACGTACAGACCCACCACGAAGCCCAAACTTGCACTTGACTTTGGCCTCAACAACGGTAATCTGCCTGCCAAAAATCATGGACGTCGAACCATGCCTTTAACCCTAAACAGTACACCTGGGGTCCGCGCGGACCCCAGCACTATATATTATGTAGTATCTTTTTTGTTTCTAAAGATTTTTTTTCTGAAATTTTAGGTAATTGTCACCCACAAAGTTGTCTCTCAATACAGTGCAGAAAACTCCGTTTCTACCATTTATGAAAAAATTTATATTTGATTTTATTTTGGGGTCCGCGCGGACCCCAGCCGGCTTTCGATCATAATGGATACATTGGCGTTCTTATACATTACCTTATTTCCGTTTTTATATGTTTTTATGCACTCATCTTATGTCTACCAAGTTTTCAGAGAATGGTGTAGTAATAGAATTAAATTTTGATAACTTTGGGGTAATTATGACGTCATATGACGTCAGAGCTAATAATATAGTCCGCCATATTGGATTTTGACCAATGACGTCATCAAATTAGCATATTCTATGCATATTAAATGATTTAACTTATACTTAATTATGTAAGATGTTATTAATGTTGGAAAAGAAGTGTAATTTAATATAAAACTCTAAAATTTTTATGTTTAAACCAAAATTACTTCTATTTTGAAAAATAGAAACCGTTGCCATGGCAACACAAAAAAACATCAACTTACTAGTATCAAACTAATATGAACTTTTTTCCAGAGACATTTTAGGAAAGGTCTCCAAATTTGATACTTCTAGCGCAAGCCGTTTAGCCGCTATCTGAGATCAAAGTTGGGCCTCAAAAGCCCCTTCAGTCTGAAATGGGTTTAAAAATCGGGTATTTCTTCTTGTCTTCTTTTCTTCACCAAAAAATAGAAAAAGTTCAAAATGTATGATATTTGTTTGTAATGTGGACACAGAGGTTCCCACATCAGTTTGCAAAACAATTGAGCTGGTAGCATGTTGATAATTTCTAAAAATTAGCAAAAAAACTGCTCTGGGGTCCGCGCGGACCCCAGGTGTACAGATTAATCAGTTCGGGAGGGTGTACTGTTGAGGGTTAAGAGTTATTCCGCTAAATCCACAGTCACCCTCAATACGGCGAGACATTTCCATAGTTTTTCTGACGAAGACAACAAAACAACGTACTGCACGGAATGACGTCACATTCCTCCTGGCTACCGTCTTCAGTCAGACAGAAAGGCCGGTTGAGACCGGTGGGGTTGCGGCAGTAGTTGTTGTCCAGGTTAGCCCAGGAGTACCCGGCCGTGTAGAAACCAGCTTGACCGGCTGACCACTCAATACAAGCTGCACCGGACGCAGTCGTACTCCATGTCCCACGGTAGTTCATGCCAGTTCCATGGTAGCAAACTGGGGATAAGAATTTTAATAATATGCTTTGCTCTGTAGGAAAGGAAGATTAAAAAACCATGCTTTACATTTTTAAGAATGAACAAAGCACATCATTGCTGAATAAATGCGCCATACATAGGAAGAAAACATCCATATTTCGTCGCGACAAGTGACATAAAAAGTTATTAATAAGCACAATGTTTCTGTATCTGCATAGCTGGTATAACCACCTTTCGGCGTAACACACCAGCTTCGCAGGCACGCAGCGCGGCGGCAGCTGGCTATATTACACCGATCGACTTATTACACCTAACCCTTGAACTTCGAACTCTAGACAATGTTTAAAGCTATCTAATGACAATGCCCCTACTGTACTTAGTGACAGCGAGTTCCACTCTGCGATACTTCTAGAAAAGAAATAATTTTTTAACACCTCAATCCTTAGTTGATAACTCTGGTACTTGAAGGCATGGCTATTTCTTGTTCTTGTTTGTAATATACAATGTATGTACTAGGCAACTCAAACATCCGAAAGTAAGAAAACATCAATCTTTCACGATAAAAAATAAACAAACCACTGATCCGCACCTTCTGTTCGCGTCACGGCGAGTTCTGTGTTCCAACAGCTGTCTTGTGATGACGGAAACACGTCACACGGCGGCAGCAGACCTTTCACCAGGTCATCAGCCATACTCAGCACTTCCTCACACCACGAACGGCATGGGAGCATTACTTTGCCCCTAGGCCACAAAAGTTTAATTTCTTAGTTAATGGAATTTTCTAGAAAAATAATGGAGCGGGTGGGAAAAATAAAAACAGGCCTAGGCATTCTGATTTTTTTTTTTGCAAATCAGAAAAAATGAAGAGGGCGAATCCGTTAACCAAGAAATTAAATTGGTGTGGCCATAGGAAAAGACTTTCATAACAAAACACTATAAAAAATGTACGAAAATGCAAACAAAAATGTGTGGAGACCATCATCCTAAGAGGGAGATGAAAACGGAGAGGACATGTACATGACAAGAACAGCACAATTATACTGGACTCCTGTAGGTAGAAGAGAAAACAAAGACGCCCTTAAGATCCACTGACGAAAAACATTTTCAAAATATCTGAGGAGCTTTAACCATACTTAAAGACAGCATTAAGAGAACAGACCAGGGCAGACGGAACTGGAAAACTTCTTTGTACAGACATTTTTTTTTATCTATCTAGTCTCTTAGCTTACCACAACATTGAAGAAAATAGAAACATGATTATACTCTTGAATGCATTAATGTCTGATGACCTATATATATTTCATGCTGAAAAATAAAAAAAAAGAATTGGCAATTATTTTTATTTTTCAGAAAGAATTTGGTAACCATAGTTACTGAGTAAGAGATCATTGCCATAGTTCTCATCTATTATTGTAGCTGCTATACTTCTTGATTTGATTTACTGGTTTGTGTTACTTAGCTTCTTTATTAGTTAATTTTGCTATAATTGTGTTTTAACTGTATAATGGGAACTTATTTACGATTTGTTGATATTTGCCTTGATTTTCATGTAAGTATTTCGATTAATCAATTAACCCGGTTAACCCGTATTATGATTGTTTTGTTATGTTTAAGAAGAAGGACTTGTACAAGCCTTTGAGGCTTCATCTTCTCCTGCACAGTGTTTTTCATTTAATTTACTTCACGTTGTATCTTGTTTATTGTACGAAATAAATAAATAAATAAAATACTTCAATAGACAAACACATTGGCTACTCACAGGCACGGAGTCGATATGCTGGAGGACGGACCCAAAGCACACTGGGACATGCTCTCCTCAGGTAAATTGCATCGTGGGAAAATGACAGAAGATACAAATTTTCGAAACTCCGGGTGGTGTTTCCCTGAGATGTTGTAGGAACTGTTGAGAAGTTCCATGACCGGGGAGTTCTGGATCTCGTCGAAAGTCGTCTGGTTCAGCGGATTCGGTAAGATCGTGAGTCGACCGTCCAGCGGAAAAACCTCCGGGATTTGTAGGCACTCTGAAAATTTTCAGCAAATTGCTTATTATTATATGTTAACCTCCAGCTTAACTAGGAATAAAATGGTCTTACCGTGGTTCCTATAATGTACTATAAATCATACCGGCGCAAAATCTCAATTGGTAGAGTGCTAGCTTTGTAACATGGGGGTAGTGAGTTCAAACCCCAGCCGGGTCATACCAAAGACTTAAAAAATGTACACACTTCTATCTCTGCTTAGCAGTCAGCACATATGAGAAAGAGTGTGGGAAGGTCAAACACACAGCACTACCAGCGGACCAGCCCCCTGCTGTAGTGCATTGCACAACTGTGTGTCGCCCAAGGGCTACGAAATGGAGATGGGCACCACCCTACGCTCGGCATGAGGGTACGGGAGACTCTGTCTTTCCTATAATGTCTTTCTTATCTGCATGTCCTCTCTCTGTCACCTATACATACGTTATAATATCAATTTAGTAAAAGTTTACGTCAGGATATGATTTTGTAAAAACATTCTGTATTCATGATAGATTCTTTCATGTAACTTTTTGTAGCAACTGCAACATGTTCTTTTCGACCTGGGGTTAGGAAAATGTTTTCTAGGCCTTTAGGTTTGTACCCAGCAAATGAGGTGTGGATTTCGTTGTCTGAAATTAATCATGAATTTTTCTGATCAACGTGGTTGTCTTATAATGTACCTCATCCGTGTATGGTATTCATAAGCTTGAATGGTCCTATCATGGAACGCATATTTACAGAATTTCCTCATAATTATGCAAATTAGATCCATATTTGCATAATTGTAATATCATCATGTCAAGCATCACTTAACCCTACCTAGACCGGGGGGGTGGTGGCTAAAAGTGCCCGCGGCAACTTTGATGTCACCTAGCGTCTGAATGGCTAGCCGTAGAACGGCCAAACTTGGTGACTTTCCCTAGAATATTGTTGGCAACAATTCTCTATCATTGGAATAAGATAATAATTTTTTGTGTTGCCATGGCAACGGGTTTCTGACAGGCATTTTTTTGCTAAATTTAGTACTTTTTGTTTCAACAATAGAAAGTTATGGGTTTTATGTCAAGTTACTCATGGTTTCTAATATTAATAACATCCCAAATAATTTTATGCAAATTTTATCATTAAATATGCATAATTTATGCTAATTTGATGACGTCATTGGCCAATATCCAAGATGGCTTGCAGAGCGGTTTATATAGCACTCACCACATGTTTCCTCGTCACTGCCGTCCGGACAGTCCGGCACCCCGTCACAGCGCCTCCAGGGCGGCAGGCAGCTGTGCAGTATGTCCTTACAGCTGAACTCACCACGCAGGCACACTGGGAAGGTTTATTTGTTTACTTGTTTATTTGAGTTTACCACCAGATATACAAGTGGAATAGTGGGGCAGATAACTGAAATAATCTTTCACTTTGTGATACAAGCACCAAACTTGGTACAAATACTCATGAGACATTACTCTTTTGAAAAAGTACGCGGGCCACTTGATTTGACTTTTGGCGCCCCCTAGCGGCGCTTTTTGGTACTGCAGCTGACCTTCCGGGCTTTGTATCTCCTGTTCTAAACATACTACAGTCTTATGTGGTAAAAAGCTGTTATAGTAAGGAAGAAGTGACGTAAATTTGGTGTCTCTAGCTGCTTGCGTTGGAACTGCAGAGGCGTTTTTTGCCGGTGCACAATTTGCTTCAAGGGCGCTTTTTTTGCTTCGGAAGGTCGGCTGCAGTACCAAAGAGCGCCCTTGGAGCAAATTTTTGCACCGGCAAAAAATGCCCCTGCAGTTCTAACACAAGCAGCTAGAGACACCAAATTTACGTCACTTCTTTCTAACTTTAACAGCTTTTTACCAAATAAAAATCATGACTGTAGCATGTTTAAAACAGGAGATGCAAAGCCCGGAAGGCCGGCTGCAGTACCAAAAAGCGCCGCTAGTGGGCGCCAAAAGTTAAATCAAGTGGCCCGCGTACTTTTTCAAAAGAGTAATGTCTCATGAGTATTTGTACCAAGTTTGGTGCTTGTATCACAAAGTGAAAGATTCCTCCAAAATTTGATGTTATCTGCTCCACTAGAAGGGAGGACAAAACAGGTGCGTTGACACGTTTACAAATTGTCCTCCCAAACACAATATGCACAATAGAAATACAGATTACATTATTGAATACAAAACAAATTGCAATAATGAACATCAGTAACATGAAATACTATACATTTAACATCAAATACAATACATCAAACATCAAATACTGTACAATTCAATATCAAGATATACATTATTTACAAAAAATATCAATGATTAAAAATGGTGTCATGCATTACAAGAGCATTAACTTGATTGACACAGGAAAGGTACATTTGTAAGGTCTATACATGTAACTAAACATACGGACATGTAGTCACAAAGGAATCAACCTACGTACAAGACTATGAATAAATATTGGCATGTCACATATATTACTTGTCCTAAGGTCTAAACCTTCTTTGAGAGTATGACGGTTAAAAGATATATACTTTCAAACTTTTTTGACTATTTCTACACTAGTGGGTCCTAGGTAGGTATAGATATGTGTAAAGTGATCAGCCCCTCGAGCTCTGTCCTACAAAATGTACCCAACACCGAAGGGTGCAGGTGTCTGCCAAAGCACCAGTTACCATGGCGACAGCCGTCTAGTCAAGTTCAGTGACCTCATGTGTTAGGCTAAGAAGAGGAAGAACCAGAGCAAAAACAATGTTTCCTTTCTGTGAAGCTAAACGTGAAAGAAAACACTTGAACCTTACCGCAGGTTGGCACATTGCAATATTCCCATCGCTTGGCAGAATCCGTGGTGAAGCACCAAACTCCGGATCCGCCGTCCGGATTCCGGCAGTAGTTCTCCTGTAGTCCGGATGACGGGTACTGCTCCGCTGTGACGTGGTGATGATGGGGGATAAAACTGTCCCAACGTTGACACGTCCTGCCACTTTCGGTCACAGAAACTTTCCCTCGGTAGGATGTTCCAATTCCTGCAATACAGTCTTCGCTGCCTTGGCTTGCAGCTAGAAGGGTCATGAACGTATGCATGTCAGACATATACCATAACTACATATTCAATTACAAGTTTGTGTCTTCATTTTTTTAAATAAATGCAGGTGTGTGTACATGGTATGTACCTCAAAAGTACCCATCAGTACCAGAATAGAATCTTACCGCAGGTTGGCACATCGCAGAACTCCCATTTTGTGAGGGTATCCGCGGTGTAGCACCACACTCCCGGGGATGCGTCAGGGTTCCGGCAGTAGTTCTGAGGCTCCGCTCCGAGTGTACGTTGTTGATCAGGTTGATGTGGAGGATAGACGTGTGCGTGGGGTGTCTGACTGTCCCAGCGTTGACACGACTTCCCACTTTCGGTCACAGAAACTGTCCCTCGGTAGGTTTCCCCATCTCCCACCTGACAGTATTCGTCGGGGTCTGAGCCTGTAGGTGAAGAAAATGACATATACCTAATATATGCATGCTACACGCAGGTTGTATTCCATAACATGAAGGATATTTAAACAAAAGTTCCACGATCTCATACCTACGCCAAATGATGTGCTTGGTGAATTATACAGTTTTAATTATTGATTTTGTAAATAAGAGCCTCATTTGCATGGATTATATCAGTTGATCATATTCTCAACCCAATGACGGCCTTATCATAACAAAAAGGCTATTCTAGCATTTCCTCATAAATTATGCAAATGAGGTTATGATTTAAATAAATTATGTTTATTGCTTTTCACCCTCACTTAACTCCCAAAATCTAATCATTTCTAGGTCTCATTAGGACCTACCCACCCACCAAGTTTCATTCCAATCCATCCACTGCCACACGCACACACACACACATACAAACGCTACTGAAAACAAAACCTTCTTGGCGAAGGTAAAAAAAACAGTTACTCAAGCAACTGGATCTGATTTTGGGAACGGTCAGACGTTTCAGGTAGCATCCATTTATACCTTTCATCAGTGGCACTATTCTGGACGATACCCATGTTTTGTGATGTAATTTTTATTTTATGTCTAGTGGTGACGTGAATATAAGCATTTTGCTTGAGTGCGTCACCACTATGTATTGTATTTTTGCATGTTGAAATTTAAAAAAAACACCAGAAACTTACCACAGGGTGGCGCATGACAATATTCCCATTTCTCGTCAGGATCCGTGGTGTAGCACCAGACACTGTCGGCTTCGTCCGGATTCCGGCAGTAGTTCTCGGCCAGTGCCGGATACTTGTCGGGTGTCCGGATGTGTTGATGGGGTGTCTGACTGTCCCAGCGTTGACATGTCCTGCCGCTTACGGTCACGTTAACTGTACCTCGGTAGGACGCCCCATCTCCTACCTGACAGTCTTCGGAGCCTGTGACGAATAGACACCAAAACGTTAAGCCCCTGTGACACATTTAGAGCCTTCCTCCGACCACCAACTAACCGACGTTGGCTGAAATTCGGATTTTTTTTAATATTCCAACATGTAGTCACAAGACGTGGTGACGGTACACTCAAGTTTTTTCAACTTATATTAATGCCACCACCAACACAGGGGACAAATACATGACAGGAAAATACTCATTTTCACTTGAGTTAAGTGAGGAAAATCGTGTAAAGTGTCTTTCCCAAGGGCACAAGATCGGTGCCATGGCAGGACTCGAACCCGGGTCCTCTTGGTTCCGAGTCGAGCGCTCTGCCGCTACACCACACGACCCCACACGCAAAGTTCGGATTTAAGGCCACGTCTATCTCTTGATACGAATCGCATCAAATTTGTGTTAAATTTCAGTCAAATTTTACAGTCAAATTTGACTGAACCACGCCCCGACCTACTGCGGACCTACTCCCAATTTTTTTAACATTCTGGAACATTGGCCGAACAGTAGCCAACCTCGCCGAACACCAGCCAACCACTGCCGGTCCTGCTGCCGACACGTACTCCTGACCATGGTTGGGAGGAGTTTGGTAGTGTTCGGGGGGTCGTACATGGTACAAACACGTCAATTGTCAACTCTATTGGCCAACGGTTAAAAGATATATACTTTCAAACTTTTCTCAAAGAACTGTAGAAAAATTCATATTCCTAATGCGACTAGACAAACCACCCATCGAAAAACAGATCTGTACCTTTATTTCTACAATAACCGAAAAGCGAGGAGAAGTTGAATTTATATAACGATAGTTAGTTACTTTTGTATCTGTTCCCGTGTCCATTCATCTTGTTTTGTTGTGACCTGTACTTAGCCAAGTGTCGAAAAATTTGCCAAGTGTGGAAAAATTTGCAATAAAGGTCGTCATTCTATATATGACCATGTATGGGATCCATATACAAAGAAAGAAAAAGACAAACTGGAAAGGGTACAGAATCAAGCTGCAAGATTCTGTATGAACAACTATGAAAGAGGTGCTAGTGTCACGGAAATGAAAAGAAACCTACAGTGGACCTCACTGGAAGACAGAAGAAAGATGTCCAGACTATGCATGATGTACAAAATGACTAATAAACTGCAATGCATTCAAGTACCAGAGTTATCAACCAAGGATTGAGGTGTTCAAGAATTCATTCTTTCCTAGAACTATCGCAGAGTGGAACTCACTGTCACCAAGTACAGTAGGGGCATTGTCAATAGATAGCTTTAAACAATGTATAGAGCTAGAAGTTCAAGGGTTAGATGTAACAAGTCGATCGGTGTAATATAGCCAGCTGCCGCCGCGCCGCGTGCCTGCGAAGCTGGTGTGTTACGCCGAAAGGCGGTTATACCGGCTATACAGATACAGATACAGACATATGTATAACAGGAGCTCCTACCGGAGACAAACAGTAGACAGCAGGTGATCCAGGTAACGACAAGTTCGCCTCCCATCTCTGCGAGGTCGTACCCGGCTGTGCCTGTGGTTTGCCGCTCTCCGCTGTTGGAGTTATGGTCTTGTTGTCTTGCTTCACCACAGCAAATCTCTTTGTCACACACATGTACCCCCGCGCACCACACAGGTTTTGCCTCCGAGTTGCAAAATATTTCATCAACATTATGTAACAGAAACCCTTCTCCAAGGACAAACAGGTTGGCACGAAGGCCACAAGAAAATTAAACGTAAAACAATTACTTACCAAGCATGTACAGGCGTGCCGTGTGGCATATTTGTAGTTACTGTCAGCATCAGATATTTAAAGGATATTTGAAGGCTTTCCCGTTAAAATTATTAGCTTAATTGAAATTCTATCTGCATTATTAGAATACAAATGACAGCTACCGACCTTGCAAGTATAGCGTCGTACTAAAAGTAGTAATCAAAGATGTGGCCTAAATCTGTGTTGACTGATTAGTATTACTATAGGCGGTTTGGTAGAACTCGAAACAATTCAGCAACAAAGGTTAGCTCCCTATCTGATATAAATATCATATGAACTTTCAAATGAGGCACAAATGATGAAATAAAACATAGTTTTCATCTTCTCCCTGCAGAGAAAGCCTTTCGACGCCAAAGTTAGCCACGGTATTATCCAGCAATTACGGAATATAGCGTCATAGCACAAATAGTAAAATTGTAGCCCAAACGTGTGCTGCCTAGGCGGTTTAGATTTGATATAACGTGATGCAGTTTTGATCAAGCCAGCTGCAGACACAAAACGTTTAGATGCAGATTTCTATACACAGCTGTTATGGCATACATCAGGGTGGCACGAAACTGTAAAACAATTTTATTACTTACCAAGCATATACAGGCCTACTGTATGGCATATATGTAGTTACTGTCAGTATCAGATATCTAAAGGGAATTTAAAGACTCTCCCCGTTAAATAAATTTTCTATCTTAATTAAAACTTTATCTGCATTATTATAACTCAGTTGACAGTTACCGACCTTGAAAATATAGCGTCTTACTACAAGTAATAATCTAAGACATAGCCTACAGGTGTGTTGACTGGGTGGCTTGATATCGTTTTAGCAACAAAGCTAGTTCCACGTAAGTAGAGAATATTAAGTAATACATAAATTGGGACAAAATTTCAAATAAAGCACCAAGCACAACTTAGAACGTCGTTAAAGTAGTATATTACGGAGTACGGAAATACATTGGGTGTAGAAAAAAACACGGAAGGGAGACAATTTAACTTTGCCGCCCGGAAGTCTACCCGTCAATCATTCTGCCTTGTGTAAGTACATGTTACAGTTCTCATTAATACTGCTAGGTGGCGCTGTGAGACCATGTGTTGGCTGAACTGGCGATTGTTGGAACTAATTGTAAAAGGAAAGCTTAGACAAGTGATATTCTAATGAATATAGATTCTTAACAGCATTTTATCTATAAAATTGAAAATATTCATGACCCTAGCACGCCAAGATCATGCGATATCAAAACCATAAGTTCCGCTGCAGTACGATAGCAACTCTATATAACATCTAATATAATTTAATTACCTTACAAAACACTCTCCAAAATAATATCCTACTGACGAAGGCATGCGCCCTCCGAACTCTAGTTAATATTTGATCATTGCCCAAAGTTACTTGAGGGAAGACAGGTTAACAGTAGCCTGGTTACCAAACCTATTATAGCTCCCGAGTCCTACATCCTCTCCGCAAATATGGTTACCAAACCTATTATAGCTCCCGAGTCCTACATCCTCTCCGCAAATATGGTTACCAAACCTATTATAGCTCCCGAGTCCTACATCCTCTCCGCAAATATGGAGAGGATGTAGGACTCGGGAGCTATAATAGGTTTGGTAACCAGGCTAGGTTAACAGGCCATCTTGTAGCGATTCTATCAGGTCTCAGAACTCAAGATGATTTTGATTAATTTGGAGATTTGGATGGGACTTGGATTCGCCTTCAGATGTGTAATGTATTGCATACATCCTCGTTTTGGGATCTCAGCCAATAGTGTGACATGGTCGTTTATTTCATGTCGCCCATACTGCCCATCGCAAACGCAAAAACACATTGTAACTAAGGCTTGCTTAGATGTCAACTATTCATAAAAATTAACCATTAATCATAAAAACCAAAAGCTGCGATTAATGATGCTTGAGATGCCTTTATTTATCATGTGGATGAATAGTATATAGTGTAATATTGTTGTAATAATTGATGTAATAATTGATGTTTAAAATCGTTGTTAAGATAAGTTTTCCTGAAGCATAATGTCAATGATAGCAGTTGAAGTAAATGTAAATAATAGTTGTATTTTTAATGTTGTATAGGACTCCAGGAAGAATAGTGGGAGATTCCTAAACAAACAAACAAACAAACAAACAAACATGTGGACATTACATACTTTTTTCTGATGTTCTTGGTTTTTACGGACATTTGCTCTGAGTACTCTGGTTCTTCTATGTTTGTGTTTGTGCCGGTGTCACAGCGATTTCGTCCCCCAGAGATTTCGCCCTCCAGTGGGGGTGAGATCACTAGCGATTTCGCCCCACCTCCGTACATCCTCCCCCCCCCCCCCTCCCTCCGCCCAATTCTAACGATATCATTTCAGGTTCGGTTGAAGCAAGAAAGTAACCTCCTTGGTTGAAATATTCTCTCTTTCTATGCTCAACAGCATAGGCATCTCAACAACACAGGATTTGAGATGATCATTGGTAAAATAGTTTTGAGAGTGTTTTATACATGTAACATAATTTCGCAAATACAACGAAATTCGATGATTAGAATTATTAATAAGTACATGTACAGGAAATATATGCAATCCATGTCAGATGAAATAGACACCAGTTGAAAATGAGGACTTAATTTGCATAATTCATAATCAAATCATTTCAGAGCTCTACGTAATAGGACTTCAATACGTGTAATACAGGTCTAGGCCATAGCCTCCGTAGCAGGCTTATAGAACTGGGGGTTCTGTGGTCTTCGGTTGTTTTCTGATTAGCCCAGTTCAACCAGGACGGCTATGTTGTCTATATGCAATCAGGAAATAGCACATAAAAGCTCCCAAAGACCGTGAAGACCCCCCAAAACCCCCAGTTTTAGGTAATGCTATGGGGGCTAACTAGGCCACATGTTTTACCAATAATATGTTTCAAATATTGAAGCGCTTTTATTTTGGAAACGAATCTTTTAGAATCGGGTACAGTCAAGCCTAGAAAGGAAATCCTTAAATCAGGTAGCTGTTTGTGCCCAGTCATCTTTTCGAAAACAGAACGCTCTTCTTGTCTTCGTGAATGTGGAATTAGCGTTTGTGTGAGTTGCAGAGTTTTTTTTAAATAAAAACGGGCTGTATGAGTAGAGGATTTAGAAGCAAAGTTGGATGCTTTTAGCACGGATTTAAGTATGGAAATACACATGAATCCCTAGCCTTGTTACGCACCGTGCTGAGATTAGGCCACACCAAGTAAATTTTATGAATGACGTCCTTTGGAGACCCTAAATCTAATGCAAGAGGGCGAAATAAAAACAAGAAGGGCCCTAAAAACAAGATGCATAGATTAGAAATATACTGAGAGACGACAAATGTTAGGTCACAAATTGAATGAGGTGACACAGATTAACAAGCAAGAAGTCTTTTATTCATCATCAAAACAGCAATAAATCAGGTGGAACAGCAGTTGTCGTCCTGTCCTGTTTCTTTCATCACATTTTTGCAGGCCTACAGAAACAAAGCATGTGCTCTTTACCCATTTCGCGTTACAGGTTTCACGTCAATCTAACAATTTGCGGCACTGTTATGACTCTTTGGTCATAGTTGCAGTAAGCGGAATTCCTTTTTTTTTTCTAGGAACATGCCAAAATCAATGCGCGCGCGGACGCCATCCATAAAATTTACTTGGTGTGGCCTTACAGTCTTAAACAGACAGACGCACCGCGTCAGTACTCTGTACATTTACTGTTCAACCAGTACAGCTGCCCTTGAGCGGACCATTCTCCAGGGCATTCATGATTGATCTCCAGCTGTACACTTATCCACAGCAGACAAATCCTAACCTTTTGGAGCTGCCATTTTTTTCCCGCGCGCATCTCTCTCAAGAACATTCACAGAG